TATATATATATATATATATATATATATATATACTAGCCGTTTATCCACGCCAAGCGACGGGTGCATATATTTTTTTCAGAAATTAGTTTCTAGAGACGATTAGTTCTTTTACGCAAATAGTTTACTACATCTAAACAATTATTTATAAAAATAATGCTAGCATAAATGAAATCAACAATAATTAAAAATGAAAAGCTGTGATTCTTTACAAATACATATGAACACATGATTGATTGTGCATTATTAATCGTACAACACTTCATTATATATATCACATTTGATGTATAGACTTCACCGCAGTTGAATTGTTCGTCTGGGGTCATTGATATTTTTGTATTGGCAAGTGATATCCCTCTAAATAATGTCACATAAAGTTAACCATAGAGAACCAATTATGGAAGATAATTACCTATATTTGGATTTTTTTTGTCACTGCGCTTTATTGATAATCATCGGGGAATATAATCGATGTGGAAATTATTTTCTCTTCAACTTGAATGGGAACATCTCATCTTCAGACGGACATAGAAGAATCCTTGGAAAATATACCCTCTCTCCAACATATTGACCAACAATTATTTTGGCATCCATGACATTGTGCTGAACACATTTACAAATCCATCGGGTGCCGTTACATAATCCATTTGATGGGTCGAGATTTCGTAACAATATTATCAGGCATCCAACTTTCAGTCGTAGGTAATTAGGGGGTAAACCACCAACACTGAGCGTTTTCAAGAATTCCATACGATATAAGTTATTTATATCGTGTACGACTTCATCAAAACTATACTAAATTCTCTCTTCTCCATGTAATAGTCCGACCAAATAATCATTAATCTCATAGAAACTACATATGTATTGTGGTGTATAAAATGAACTGAACTACATAGAAACTAAATCGAAGCTAAAACGCAAACCGCAGCAAACACAAAAGTCGAATCGTACAGTTTCAAGCTAAAACTAATATATGCATTTTCGGTACAGTTTTAGAAAAAAAAACACCACGTCATCCATACGTGTTGGCTCATTTAGTAAGATCCAGTAAGATTCTCCCCAAAAGAGACCGAAGTTCAAATATTGAGGGGGTGACCAAAAGGAGGTAATGCATCATCGCTTGGAAAGCAACACAAGATGTCTCCGCATTTTCACCAAAGAACAAATTACTAAAATCGTCCCTATGGTTTGGTCAAAATTACGTGTTTGGTCCCTAACTTTTTTTTATACTCGGACCATCCTTATAGTTTGATTTTATAACGTCTTTCGTCCCTCGCACACTTTAAAAGACTATATTACCCTTCGTATTTTTTTTTTCAGTTTTTATATTATTTACTTATTATTTATTAACTAAAAAATGAATTAATAAATATATGGCCCCACCAACACATACACTCCTTCACCCTCCCCTTTCCCTCCACCCCTCCCCTCCGTCAACCTGTGATCAACCACCACCGTAACCTTAGGCAGCACCTCCTTCAAACTCCCAACATCACCACCGAAAACCACCACCAGTCAACACACCAAATAAATTGAAACTGAACCAAAAATAAAGAACAACAAACCCCATGTACAATCAAAACCAAATCAAACCAATAAAATAAAATCCGTAAACCTATAGCCAAAATCAAAATCAAACCAGAAAAATATTGAACAGAGGTGGTGTCAGAGGTTCCAGCAATCATGAAATCAGAAATCATAACATGATTTTTAACAAAACTTCCATCAAATCGACACATTTTCAACCAGAAACCATAAAATCGTTTCAATATCCATGAATTCAACCAGAAAAAAATAAACCAAACCCTGATTTTGAACTAAACTTCCATGAAATCCAGGAAAGAAACATGATTTCAATTAAGTATTTCAACAAAAAAAAAATCAAAACATGATTTCTGAAAACCTGCATCAATCGAGAAAAAATAATCAAATCACACCTCAAATTCGTGTTCTAAGAGTCATGGGGGGCGTAGAAAGAATGAATCCGGAAAACAATTGAACCCGCTTCCGAAATCGGTCTTACTTCACACCGTTATGATGCTCCGACGAACCCATGTACCCACACATTCATCAATTAGATTCTTGTTGGCAAGCAGATCATTCAACAATCTGTGGAGTTCTCGAAGAGGGAGAGGAAGTAGATAAGAGTCGCTGGAGAGTGTAAGGCCACCGATGAAGTACGGTCGCCGACGATGGAGGATTCCAACGTTTCTATGTTCGGTAACTTAGGGTTTGTTCTGGGTTTGTTTGACCATCGATTGCCTTGCCTTCTCCGGCTACTTTCTGATTCGATACACTGACAATGTGTGTGGCCCGACGAGGTAAGAGGTGTGGCAGAGAGATCTGGAACGAGAAAGGGAGTGGGGAGTGAGAAGGGGATGGGGTGGGCCTCTCATACATAATATTTATTTAAAAAAAACAATAACAAAATAACAAAAAGAAAAATAAAAATAAAATAAAAAGGGTATAGTTGTCATTTTACATTGATCAGAGATCAAATGCGCAATAAAAACAAATCATAGGGATGATCCGAGTGCAAAAAAAAAAAGTTAAGACCAAATACGTAATTTTGACCAAACTATAGGGACGATTTCAGTAATTTGTTCTTCACCAAATGATGGACCATCTTTGTTGGAACCTATTTAAAACGAGAATACTCATTTCAGAAAAAAAAACCATTAATATGTCTGGATCATTAAATTCGTATGCTATAATAATCAAATCTTATTCGCAACCAGAACAAGAAAATTCAAAAATGTTCAATGTTGCGCGAGAAGCGGCAAGGAAAGATGTAGAACGGCCATTTGGAGTCCTTAAGGCCAAGTGGAACATAATTAATAACCCGTCATGAACATGGGAGCCAACAAGAATAAACATCGTAACATACGATTGTATAATATTATAAAATATGATGCCAAATGACAAACATCAAGCCATTTGTATGTATAACAAAGAAAAACCACTTCCACCACTTGGAGTAGCGCATGTTCACACACTTTATTTATCGGGACTAATAGAGGTTCAAAGCCAAGAAGCAAATAACAACCTTTGCAATGATTTGGCGGAACATACATACACCAATCAGCAATCCAACAACAATGACGAGTAGATGTAATTTTCATTATTTTTATTATGTAATGTGTTTAATTTTTATCATGCAATGTTTTAAAATTGATGAAATATTTCTAAGTTTAATTAATCATACATTTATATTGTTTTTATTATTTATATTTGTATTAAATTAAAAATAATAAAGCTGTGATAGTACGAAGGAAACATCCCTACGAGATTATGTGAAAAGGTGGAGAGTGAATAATGATGTGACGTTGATATGACAATCTTATATAGTGTGATAATGTGATAACCATATATTTTAGCTTAATAGACTATAATAGACTATAGTAGGTAAATATTAGTTATTTTAGAAATATTTATGATATTAGTGGCTTTTCTTAAAGAAAAAAAATAGTGGGGTTTTCAGCTACAAAATTGAAAATGTAACGTTTTTTTTTTTTTTTTAATATCTTTGATATTTAACACATAAATCACCTAAACTTTATTAAGTGAATATGTAAAAAGAAGAAATTGATGTCAAAAACTACATCTTGGTAAAAATAAGCGTTATTGTCATTATAAGTTATAACCCAACAAATTTTTTTATTTTATTTTTTCTGAACTAATTTTTATGTCTTTTAAGTCATTGATGTTTGAAATACATATCCAACTAGGTGAACCTTAGGCTATAAAAAGTGGTAGCATGCTTAGCACATGCTAAACACATTGCACATCATATTTTTACTTTCCACCTAAGCTTTCATGTACACTTAGATTAAAAAAAATCAAATGAAAAAGAACCAATCAAAAGGCTGATACAAAAAATAAAAACAAAGAAAAAGACCAATCACACGCAAGCCAGGTCTCTCTCTCTCCTCTTGTTAAGATGGTAGCGAGTGTTGCTTAGCACCTCCCTTAGCTCATGCTAGGAGGCAGTGTTTGCCTTGTTCTAGTGAGTGTCTACTTAGATGATTTGGTCTACTTAATGTCCACATGACCACATAGGCTACACTTGGACACTAATGTGGCATTGCATTGATGATGTGGCCTTCTCCTATCAAAACCCCACCCATTTGCCTACATGTCTTCCAAACCAACGACCTCCGTTTCCCACCACCACCGGCGTCTGCTCCCACCACCACCACCACCATTCATCGGCCGAAGGTGGTGGTTAGTGTTGCCGGGAAAAGTTTACAAGCTAAACATTTTAGGAATCTAAATATAACTACAAAACTGGTGGTTATTAATAAATCCAAAAAATGTATTACTTTACATAACGTGCAACTTTTTATGTTAAAAGTTGGTAATAAAAACTACAAAATTGCTTATCATATTCATAGTCACTCATTCTCTATAGAACCAAATGCAATCACACCAAAAACAAAAAACATGATTTTTTTTTTCTTAAATCGAAATCACGCTGGAATGCAAAATGATGAGCTCAAAGGCGGAGGCAGGACACACACCAAATGTGGTCCCGCAGGATTGCATATTATATTTGCCCGATTCACATTTGGCAATTCCAGTTGTGGAGGCCGAACATATCCGGCACCTAGCGGTACACACAATATAGAAATCTCAATCCTTGAACCTGTCAGTATCAGTATCAGTGTCAGTGATCAGGATAACGAGGGTATTAACGTCTTTTGCATATACCTTGCTTTGTGGAGAGGGGGGCATGGCCTCGCTTCCTCCCGGCAATCATCCAATTCTTTAAATTTGCCTTCACTTCATACACTACTTCGTCCTGTTACATGAAATAATTAATCTTCTATCTAGATTTAAATAACATGATGATGTAATATTTAAAAAGTTGTTGCTTAATTAGAATTAGTAGTCTTACGTTGTTGTTACCAGAAGCTGTTTCATCTTTAAAAAACTTTAATCTTTCGATTCTCCATTTCATGGTGAAAAGCTGCCCAACTCTAAGACCATTTGAAGGAAGAGGAAGAAAACCAACTGCTAAAGAAGGTTCTAGAACAGGTCGTTGTAACTCAAGAGAACTCCTGAATGTCAATACATCATTGTCATTGTCATGTACTTTTGTTTCCAAGGATACGGGAGTATGAGATCCATGATTTCTGTCACCCGATATTTTGTATTTAATATTTAATATTGTGTCAGGATGCAATGCTTTCTCTTCATCTGCAAAACCACAAATCCATGTCAAATAAAATAAGAATCAAAATATCATTTTTTTTTTAATTTTAAAATACCAAATAAAATTCCAGCTCTAGAGGCTGGAGGAACAATGAGAGGAAACAATGCAGATGTTGGTTTTCCATCATGAACAGAACCATCTTGTAGATCTAACCATGCATCATGAATGGTCAACGAGGCTTTGACTTGTGACTGTAATATCACCTGGAACAACCAAATGACAAAATTAATAATGCACAAAAATTGAATTATAGAAAATTCTTGATAAGTGAAATTATTTTTGGAAGTGCATAAGTTTTAATGAAAATAAAACCTGCAAAAGCAAAGCACCATCATTGCCCTTGTCTGCCACACGTGTGCTGACGTGGAATGGGTCAGTGAAATGAGCAGCTACTGTCTTTTCAAATATCTGATTTCGTGACACTCCAAATTCAAGTTTTAGAGCTAATGTCCTCAGTCCATCGACTACATTTGCTCTTTGGGACAATACTACCCCTAAAACAAATAATAAATAAAGATTATAGTAAATTGAATATTTTTCTCAGTTTTGATCCTAAAAGATTTTCTCTTGCAACTTTGGTCCTTGTTTAGGTTCTTGTAATGTTTTTGGTCCTTGTTCCATTGTAAAATAAGGACCAAATTTTTTCAAATGGAAACCTTTTTAAACCAAAATTGCAAAAATCAACTATAACCTTTTACTCAAAAGGTTATTAAAGTAGTCAAAATCATGGAAATTATTTAATATCATTAAAACCTGCAGATGTTCCTTTTGGTAGTCCTTCATTTATGGCACGCACAGGTATCCACAAAACACCAACGATATTGCTTGCCCAATCTGGTAACTCTATACTTCCATTTTTAAGAGTAAGTGTAGAAAATTCTTTTGGAACATCAGGATCATCATCATCATTATTATTGTTAATATTATTATTATTATTATTATTATCATCATTATCTGAAGTAAAATGTGTCTCCATTTCTATGTCATGTGACTCCTCAATCTTCAATCCAGGCCCAGTGTTGATATGCAAAACAGCTCCTTTTAAGGAGTATTTAAATGGCTTTACAATTATTCCAACCCACTGAGCTTCATTCATTAATAACGCAGATGAAACTTTTGCAGAAAGATCAACAAGGGATCTTGGTTTAAACACCTAAAACAACAAACATAACACAAAAATAAATTATACCCCAAATTGCACTTAATATCAATGTACTTTGTTTTTTGAAAAAAAATACCTTCAAAATGGGTCGAGTGGGTTTATCGTAACTCATGAGGTCATCACTATCAGCGGGCCCACCTCTTGAGAAACCATGAGACCTAAAGCGTAAATGACCAATTTGCCCCGTGAGAACACCCAACACATACGAACCGGGTTTCTGTGGGGGTAACGAAAGCGTAATTGTGTTTCTACCAGGCTTCAGTATCGTTACATCACCGCTTCTAATTGCCTGAAAATTTGAAGAAAGTAAATTTGAGTTTAGAAATTTGAAGAAAACTTGGAGAAAATGGTTGAATGAATACCTTGACGCATTCATCGGCGTTATTGGTGGCAGTTAAGGTGAGACTAAGTGATTCAAGAGTGATGTCATCGGGAAACTCACACCATAAAGTTACAGATAACGAACCCGGATCTCCGTCGCAAAGCTCCATCGGCGGCCCTGAGTTGCCGGAAAATGTTATCAACGACGACACATCTAACGGAACAGGATCCTCCATTTCGCTATGAGCAAGACGAACGACTTCGGATTGAAACGCTTGACGTTCGTTTGTTAAGAACAAGCCTTTATCGAGTGAAAGCAATCGCACACATGACGATAGGTATCCGGCTCGATCGTTGAGGATTTTCTGGCATTCGGCTAAGTTTGGGAGTACGTCGGCTAACAAATCGTGCCATCCTTCGCCGGAGTAAAGAGCACAAACCTTCTCGTATGATTTCGCTGCTAGATCGTGGTTGCCGTTTTTGAAGCAAACGGAGGCGATTTCGCCGTCGAGGACAACTCCGTGCCTTTTCCACCATGAATGATGGTAGTTATCAGCAGCTCCCTTTGATAGCTCCAGATACTTTTTCTGTTTGTGTATATAAATTCAATACAAAAATTCCAATTATACATATAGTAACCTTAATCTGTATATACCTCAAACTCTTGTAAAGATGATAACGAGTTCCATAAACCAGGATCGGAGATAGTTTTACGTAGAGCATGTTGAGAAGCCACAAAAACTTCAGCGAGTTTCCTTTGTTGAGACGATTGTGCTTCTGAATCTGAGCTGCCAGCATGTAATATGTTAACAAAACGGATAACAATGAATGAAAAAGTAATGTTTGAATGATCGGATATCCATATTACCTGCAGAACAAGAGCTTTTTTGGCGATTAGCTTCATGTAGAAGAAAAGAGGGTTCAAGAGGCAAAGGTTTCTTCTGAATACCAAAATGTTTGATCCTTGGAGTAGCTTCTTGCATCATCTACAATTTAGTTTAATCACAATCATTTCTACTAAAACAAACATATAGCATGAAACCATAGAGAATAGATGAAGATACATACTTTTTCTTTCACAAGAACTTCGGATGCAGCATCAGGTGGAACTGAAGGCCAAACTGCTGGCTTAGGCCATGGTAGCATGCTAAGTGAAGCACTACACAAGAAAAAAAAGAGGCAGCTTTGACTTTTGAGAATCATGTATAGAATAAAGAATTGACTTTCAAGCAAGAATTGAGATCTATCCCACCTGTTGACTGGACTTCTTTCTATATCAGATCCATACCCAAGTAAATATGCAAGCCTCATGAACTATCAGGTTCACATACACACAGAAGAAGATAATATAAATATTATCATATGATCCATATTCAAAATTATTATTTTTATTTAGTTTAATTACCTTAACGCGACATAGAGTATACAACTCCCCTTTTACACGATAAAATTCTTTTTCTATCTCTGGTGCCACTATTCCATCCTTGTAATGGTCAGCAGTTGCATTGACCAATCCCAAGGATGCAGTTAAGACCCAAACTTCCCTCATACAGAAGGGCAAACCACTCTGGAGAGTAACCATAGACAATTAATAAGAAATTCAAAATTAGTTAAAAATTAATGATATGAAATTATGAATTGAATGCCTACCTCACGTAAGGCCAATGCTTCTGAGAAACTAACAATGAATGAAAACCCCCTTGATGCAACCTCAAATGGACGTTTTAGCTTGAATAACAGCTGTGAAAAGAAAATAAAAGTTCAATAATCATTAATCCATATTAAGTTACTAACAAAAACAAAGATTATTTAAATAACCTTAGCTTGACAGGAGAAAAGGTATTGTCGAAATTCAAACTCCCTAAAGGAATCATCTTGAACAATTTGTGACAGTTGTTTGTTGTTAGGGTTTAGTATTGCAGCTTGATCATCTCCATGGTCTATTCCTCCAAACTCCCTTTGTTTTCCTGCATTGTTAACTGTATGATGTACAAGAAAAAAAAAATAAGCTTTACATGTGGCAAAAAGTCAGAAAAATA